TCCCTATTCTCGGCTTCTCGCTTTTATTCCTGGAACGTCATCTTCTTTCCTTGTTTAAGGTCGTCGGTTAGCTGTATCAATCTTCTTCCTAGTCCTCTCTTTCCTTCAACCTGGCCTTCGGTGATATCACTCAGTAACCCATTCCTTCTCATAATATGTCCCAGCCAGTTAGCTTTCCTTCGTGTAATCGCCTGCAGAATGTTTCTTTGCTCGTTGACTCTCCTCAATACTTCTTCGTTGGTCACTCGATCCGTCCACCTGATCTTCTCTATTCTTCTCCAACACCAAGTCAGTAAAATGAGTGCCTACAGACTGGATGGCAAGGGTTTGATTTTCTATAGGGGAAGGGATTTTTGTCTTTGCTGCCTTGCTCTGGGTTTGCCAAAGGTTAGCATGAGTGTTTTTCCCCCCTGGAGTAAGTAACTCAAGCAAGAACATCAGTCTCAAGATCTAGGATTCATAGAATTTTGCCTCTGCGCACAAGAAGACCTTTGCCTTTACCTTTATAAAATGTTTTTAATATGTCTCAGGAGGTTTCAGACCATTTGTTGGAGACCTGGGAGATAGAAGCTCTGATAATCCAAGCTGTGGTTCTAGAGGAATATGACGTGAAGCGCCTCTCAAACCTGCAGGTACCAAGCATTCACACTCGGGCTATCCGCATTAGCACTCTGTTCATAAGAAGTGCCACTACCATGCATCTGCTACTAGCAACTTGTGGCTATCCTGTTACTCTTGCTGAGGTAAATATTTGATTATGCTGTCATTCAGAAAGTACAGTCGCTACAGTATATAAATCACACATTGAACCTTTTGGCTGTTCACCAACAAATTTTGGGTATTTCCATGTGTGTGATGAAAACCGGACACCAATAACGTGAAGGTCGGTACGCATTTCTGATGAACTCGAAAGAATTTTTACTCTGTGCACACGTGCACATATTTTCTAACTTGTTTTATTTCTAGTTTATTTAACTATGTAGTGGTTGAATGTTAAGGTTACTGAAAAATAATGAATTGGAAAAGACACAGAAGGAATTAGTTGCGGTCTTATTTAAGGTACTACCTTGGCTTTTACCTGGAAGGACCAAAGAATGTTTTTCTTTATGCTTATAATATAAATCTGTATGTTTCAGGCACTGCCATGGAGATATTTTGATGGGAAGTTATTTGGCTGTACATACCACAAAACAATGTCCGGGGGGAAATATGAAGATCAGTGCTTTCACAAGGTATGCTGAAAGTTTGTCAATCTGATTTGTACAGTTTATGAACAGATGTACTTACCAGTAGATCAGTAAAGCCTGGAGGATTTAGTCAAGATAGAACATGTCAAATAACTGTGCTGACAGACACTGAATATCGTTGCAATACTTTATAAAAGGAAATTGTTAGATTAATGGACGTTGTCAAACCTAGAAATTCACGTAGAAGTCTTTTCAAAAGATCAGAGATCTTAGTTATTCCATGTGAATGCATATTCTCATTAATGAACTTCATTGTAAACATTTTTAAACTAATTCCGCTGTACATAGTGTCAATGCAAGGAATAGCAATTAGCTTCACGCACAAATTACCAAGCAATAATTTTTTCAGAATAGTGCATATTATGCAAGCATCAGAGTTTCCAAATGAAACCTTTAGTCCTTCATTACCTTGCAGACCCTTAATTTTTTTTGTATCAAATTCTTTTGTTTTTTGACATCAGGTGTCAAACTCTTGTAAATTATGTTGATGATATGTTATATTGACACTTGATAAATCACCATTGACTCATGTCAATGTCTGATTTCCTCTGAGGTTACATAATTTTAAATTGATGATACTGCTGGTGTTTTTCAGACTGCAGTAATGGAGCAGTATATAAAGGTGCGAGAGATTGTATATGGACCTCAGCAGAATTAAGTTTCTGGTTACCCCTTCAGGAGCCTTCAGACCATAAACGAGTAAGTGGAAGTTCTGTACAGAATAAAACATGGGTTCTTTTCTTTGTGATGTTATAAATATCGAAATGTGTTTGCATAGATGGATGAATGGTTGGTAATTTTACAGTAATTTCTGGGTAGGGTGATAAGTCCAACGAAGTGTTTTGAAAAGTGACATGTTGGAAGCTGTTCTCTCGTATTATCTTGCCAAGTTAACCCGAGCTTTCTGATAATGTATTCCAAAACTAACTAAGCAAGCTACAATAAGCTGATGAAGAGATGAGGGTAGTAGACTTAATGAGCTGACATATTGGTCGAAACTCGTCATAGTAGTGGGGCATACAATAACATTATTAACTGCAGATCTATTCCATCGTGGATAAATCTGTATAACTCGTACAGACCTGTATTTTCTGTCCACTAACGTGAATTTTTTTACACTGGTTGAACTGTAGACTTATTATTAAAAATAATTCGTGGATATGGTTCTCTATGTGTGTGCGCTTAATTTGTCTGGATGTTCCAAAATATCCTGCAGTCCATGTTACAGGTAAATCTGTTTCGTTTTCACGCGCAAGTTACGCTTGCCGCACAGTGGTCTTTTAAGCAGATTTCTGCAAACTGCAGATAAATCTATGTATGTCTTGCCATTGTTTATTATTAGTGTTCTGTCTGACGACAGGTCCATATGAACAGGATCCTTCCATCCTTTTCTCGGACTGGGACCCTTGCCATTGTATAGGAAGTTTAATTCATTATGTAACATTATTTGATGTAATTTTTTGACCTGAGACACTAAATTTGCTCTGTAAAGCCTTGTAGGCATTCTCCTCCTTTTGGTAGACCTTCCTCCATGGCCTCAGGTTTCGCTCTGGTGGGTCGGAGGTTTGCCTGATTCTGTCAAGACTACTTCACTGTTATGAACACATGGACTTGGCTGGAGGGAGATTAGTCTAGGTAGATTTACAATCTGGATGAATGACACGCGATTGCCAGGAATGTCTTAATTTTGTTATTGGCATTGATGCCCCAAACATTGTATTACTTTGAGCTTCCAATGAAATAACCTATGGATACATTGGAAGTTATGTAAGTACTGTACAAACTAACCAATTTAATGGCATGGAAAACGAAAACAAGAAGGAATCTGTAAAATGTAACGAATGTTACAACCTGATAATTATTTCTGCAGTGTGATAGGATCCACAGTTCAGTGCAGAATCTGAAATAGTTCACCATGACTGGATTTAAATGCCAAACCATGGGTACAAGCTGTTGTCATATGCAGGAGTCTGTGCACGTCAGTTTCCTGTGTGGTTTTTAAGGAATATATTCAGAGAGGGGCAAGTGATGGTGGGAGAAAGTCTGGGGGCTGAGTTGTCTCGGGAGTGGTCTTGGTAGGCTGGTTGGGTAAAGTAGGTAAAAGGTGGATGCCCAGGCAGATCAACTTCAGGACTCTGACTTTTAGGCAGATGGACAGGCGTTAAGAGGCTTCAGTGAAGAGAAGCTGTCCCGACTAGCAGAGGCCACTCTGATGTCGGGATGAAGGAAGTTTGGGAGATGATGTTGATGAACAGGTGATACAAAAGAATATAAAAATGCTTTTAGGTTTTGCATTTAGCTTGTTGTTACCTGTGATGTGTATCAGCAGTGCTGTGGAAGCATTAAGTGTTTTACAGGCCAGAAGAAATAATTCTTTGTCATGATGAATATTCATCTTCATGAAAGTAAGCTTGTGTTTTGGGGCATATAGTTCCATTTTATGCTAGGATGTTTCTAATTTGGTGAAGTGATCCTACAAAAGAATGGTAGTAACATCTCCTGCAGTATAATTATATTCTTGAATGTTTATATCAAATCAAAAAGTGACAGTGGAACGACGGTTCCGGAGTATTTGACGTAAATACGTCTATACGGAAAGGAATTTTATATTTTGGCTTTATTCTAAATATTTCCTTTATACATGCTTTACAATTGAGTAAAGTTTGATTAAGACATTGC